GACAATTTTGTGTACTTCTTGTCGGCACGCCTCAAGCGCCTGCTGTCGACTTGCAGTTGTTCATCGTCCGGTGGGAGCATTGATCGCTTGATCAGCGAGAGTCCCGCCTTTTGTCTCTTTTAGCGCATTACCGTGGCTCAGGGCTCGGAGGTGGCACGAAACTTATTGGTGGAGCAATTTCAGGGAGTGCTGTTTTGTTGGACGTTTGTTCGGTTTTAATTCTCAAGGCATTATCTTCGACTTTGTAATATTCCTCAACTTTCTTCATCAACGCCCAGACTATTTTGGGGGGTCTTCTGGTCAGGGAACTGTGAAGAGCGTTGTTAGGGTGTAGTCCCATTTTGAAGGCAGTGATGGCCATGGAGTCCTTGCAAGCGTCGTCAACGAGATTGAAGCACTCCCAATAGCGCGCCGAGTACACTCTGAACGTTTCTCCTGACTGGATCTGCATAGTCCAGAGAGAGTCGGCTTGTTTCGGTTGTACCTCATTGGTAATGAACTTGGCCTTGAAGGATTTCTGTAATTGATGGAAGTTTTTGATCAAAGCCGGCTCCAGCTTGTAATACCACTTGACAGCTAATGGCCCCAGGCTGCTGGGGAATATTCGGCACATGAGGGCCTCGTTGTCTACATGCAATGTCATGGCCTATTTGTAGTGATGGATATGATCAGTGGGGTCTGATTTTTCGTCGTAGAGAGTGAATGAAAGGGCTTCGAACTTCTTGGGCCGCCCTTGCAATCCGTCGGACAAAGGGATCATGCTGGTCGTCTTCGTCTGAACTGCTTCTTCTGCCCTTATTCCTTGTACGAAGACTCTTTTCGGAGGAGTTGGAAATTTTGGATCGTCCCCTCTTGTTGAGCTCCGTGGACAGTGAGTTGGAGTCGTTATCGGTATCCCTTGGTTGGGCTCGAGGTCATTGTCCACCTGCCTTCGGAGGATGTTTGGGATCTTGGTGCACAGTTTCTCTGGATTTTGCCACTTCCAGGGCCAAGTCTTGACGGAGACGTTCATTTTCAACGATCATGTTCTCTAGTCTTTGTTCATTCTGCTTTGCTTGTTCCATGATCGCTTGCATTGTCTCTTGGGCTGAAGTCGTTGGTGAATCGAAGTTCAAGGCGCGTCTTGCAGTGATGATTTCCTTTCCAAGCATATTTGCTGGAGTGAGGTCATCTCTCTGTGTGGTTTCATCGGTGGCTATCGGAGGATCTTCAGTCACGCCTGCCATGGATTTATTTGAGTATTTCCACAGACGGCGCTAATTATGGAGAAGTGGTTTTGGAAATACTCTTCAGATCCTGGGAGACGCTGGTGATCCTCAGCTAGTCACCTGAAAAGACATAAACACTCCGGTCAGGGGTGCCAGAATTAGCACTCCGACAGACAAGTCAGTTCTTGTACTCAAAATAGCTTGTCTTCTAAGTTAAGCAAAAAGTGATTATTACATACCTTTCTCAATCCATTGTTCCTGTATTTATACATGTTCCTTCTGATCCTCGGGGCCAGGGCCTACTTTTTAATCACTGTCCTTTCTCTTATTCGACTCTAAGGATCTACACTTATTTGGCACATATATTATATTCGGCTTCCCATTCTCGTAAGATACAGCCGGTTAATATTAGTCTTCTAAGGTACGCACCTTCTGATTTTGCCATTATTCGACTCCTACATTCATGGACTTGGTGGTGAGTTAATTTTTTAGAGACTCTTCCTTTTCTCTAGGTTCATGGTCATTATTATTTTTTGGTGTATTTTGTAAAGTCCTAGTGCCCTATAAATAGTTCCTCTCATCTACTCTTTCCTACACTAAAACACCAACTATTTTCTATACTTTTTTTTTATCAGCAAAAGAACAAGAACTTTATTGATGAAAAAAGAGAATTTCACATCAATAAAGAAAGAGGGAGAATAAGTGCAAAAAGTATCATAGTGAACCAAATCATGTGCTAGCACCACATCAAAGGTTGATTAGAAACCAACCAGAGACAGATCTGCAACAACAAATTACAACCCAAAACCAACCCAAAACAGGACAACAATAGCAAGTATAATCTAGCCATATCTAAAATAAAATTACAACCCAAAGCTAACAAACAACAACAAACCAACACAGTAGCAGCAAGCCAAGCAGATCAGCAACCCCAGCAGACCAGCAACCCAAACAAAGACTCCTTTAGACAGCATCCAAACAGAGCATTAATAATAGAGCAGCACCATTATATAATAACCCACGCAGACCAGAAGCAATCCCAGCAGAACAGCAACGCCAAAGCATCACTCATTATACATATAGCACCCAAACAGAGCCTCATTTAGCCCTTAGATAATATGCCTCACTCATTTTATGTTTGAAACAATCTCTTGAATGGAGAAACAACACCCTACATTAATAGACTTCAACCACAAGGCCACTCGAATTTTAATAAGCTCACATAAAACAACAGTATCAGGTTTATTATTATTAAATAAACAGTCATTTCTATACATCCACAGTGACCAAATGACAGAAATAAAAATAACCCTCCACTCTCTCTTTTCCTTTTTCCTGAGTTTCCACCCCAACCACCATTGCATCAAGCCTTCAAAAGACTCAGGTAACACCCATTGAATTCCCCACCAGGCCATGATGTTTGACCAGACAAGCCACGCAAATGGACAGAACAAAAAAATGTGATTGAAGGTTTCTTCCTCAACTTTGCACAGCACACACTGCCAAGCCCTGTTACCTCTCAATACTCCAATTCTGCTGAGGAATGTAGATGTTTTCAATCTACCTTTCCAAGCGAGCCAAGTAATGAATTTAGCCTTAGGGGGAGCAAAGTTATTCCAAACCAAATCTGGATAGTTGAAGATAGGCCCATCACTTTGTTTGCACCAATTATACACAAAACCAACTGTGAAAATTCCCTGACTAGTCAGCTTTCCACCTGATTGAATCCTTTTGACAAGCCACAAGGCATGGTCCTACTCCCAGCAGATTTTGCAACCTTAGCACCTCATCTTCTTCCCATCCAAATAAAGGCCTTCTAAAGTTAAAGCACCAATTGTTGCTATGTAACCAATCTGCATCTTCAAGGTGATCTCCTTATTTAAACTCAATTAATACAGCCTTGGAAACTGAGATTTGAGACTTGATGTTCCCAGCCAAGTGTCCTGCCAGAATTTTACCCCATCACCAATCCTAAGCTCCATATTTTCCAGAAAAAAATTATGCAGTCGAGGATTAAAATAAGACACAGGAAGGACTTGTCTCCATATAGCAGAAATAGAAACTAGAGCATGCACTGGAGGAAACCAGTGGCCCCCCGAAACTCCATACTTGGCACAAATCACAGATTTCCACAAAGCCTCATCTTCAAAGGCATATCTCCACCACCACTTAAGAAGTAAACATTCATTCATCAATCTAATGTCTCTAAGACCAAGACCTCCTTGTTTCTTATTCATCTGCACTACTTTCCATTTTACCAAATGGATTTTCCTTTTAGACTCGTCCCCTTGAATCCTATCAAGTTCTTTAACGACGCACTCAGGTGTCTTGAACAAGGACATATAATAAATAGGTAAGGAAAATAACACAGCTTTGATGAAAGTGACCCTACCAGCATATGATGACACCTTTCTCTTCCACCCAGATAATTTCTTTTTATACCTATCTACCAGTGGCTGCCATGTTTGCTTCCGACCTATGTTAGCTCCAAGTGGCAACCCAAGGTACTTTAAAGGTAACTTATGACTCCGACAATTAAGTATGTCTGCAAACTCCACAACCAACCCATTATCAACTCCCACCCCACATATCATGCTTTTATGAAAATTAATTTTCAACCCCGAGACCATCTCAAAACATCTTAAGATTCGTTTAATAGCCACAATCTCTGCCCTTTCAGCCTCACAAAATATAATAGTGTCATCCGCGAACTGAAGATGGGATACGATGACCTCACTTCACTATTACCCACTTCCACTCCTTTTATAATCCTCAATTCCTTAGCTCTTGATAACAATATGTTCAAGCCTTCAGCAACAACATTGAACAAGAAAGAGGAGAGAGGATCACCTTGTCTTAACCCTTTCTGCGAACAAAATTCAGCTGTCGATGAGCCATTTACTAATTTGGAAATTCTAGCAAATTCTATACACTCCTTCATCCATCGAATCCATCTTGGTCCAAGACCAAAACTATCTAACATCTATAACAAATAGTTCCAATTAACAGTGTCGTAAGCCTTTTGAAAATCCAATTTGAGAATAATGCCCTTTTTCTTTGATGTTTTCCACCAATCCACCACCTCATTAGCTATAAGTACACCATCAAGAATGTTTCTTCCCCCAACAAAAGCAGATTGGGCCTTATCAATCACAGTAGGCAGGACTTGTTTCAATCTATTAGCCAAAACTTTAGACAGCACCTTATATGGGGAATTTATAAGGCTAATGGGTCTATAATCAAAAAGAGAGGTTGGATTCTCCTTTTTGGGAATAAGAGCAACAAAAGAACAATTTACCCCATACCCCAATTTATAGTTGCTATAGAACTCCTTCATAAACTTCATAATGTCACCTTTCAAGAACTTCCACCATTTTTGAAAGAACATCATATTAAACCCATCCGTGCATGGGGCTTTGTGGCCATCACACTCTTTTACAGCAGCCCATACTTCTACTGAGAATTCTCTCTCTAGAATAGCATCTACTTGACTAGCAGCAATTTTCTTAAAATCACCTCCAATACTTGGCGTAAACCACCAATGTTCAGTAAATAAACTTTGGAAGTGATGGTAGGTTGCATGTTTGACCTCAGTAGGTTCATCCACCTTAACCCCATTAACCGAACCAGAAGTAATCAGGTGTAACAGCGCCCGGTTGGTGTGGTAGGTTGCATGTTTGACCTCAGTAGGTTCATCCACCTCAACCCCATTAACCGAACCAGAAGTAATCAGGTTTCTGTTGTACTTTTTGGTGACCATAATGTGAAAAAATCTAGTATTTCTATCTCCTTTCAAAGCCCAATCCAACTCGATTTTTGTATCCACATCCACTCATTTCTTTTGCTAAACTTCCATATCAAACCCCTGACTTCCTTTCTTCGACCCTCTTCCTCCTCAGTCAACTCTTTCACTTCAAATTGTAAATCCATAGAATGTAACTCACATTTAGCTTCTTTCAATTTTGATTCTACATCACCAAACACTTCCATATTCCATTTTTTAAGAGCTACTTTTAGAGCTCTCAGCTTTTCCATAATTATATAACAAGCCCAATTGTGAACATTAGTTGAGTCCCAAACTTTTTTTGCATCACCAAGGAACTTAGGGTGAAGAACCCAGGTGTTGATAAACTTGAATGGCTTCTGGCCCCAATTCCTATCATCTTCCATCAGCAAAATGGGGCTTTGATCTGAAAAAAGTCTTGGTAACCCCCAAACTTTGTATCTATACCATTCCAGCCACTCTGGGTTAACCAAAAACCTATCAATTCTGCTCCAACTTTGAGAATTATCCCAAGTATATTTCCTACCTAACATTGGAATATCTATCAATTCAAGATTGCTAATAAAGTTGCCAAACTCACCCATTCCTTTATCCGTTCTAATACACCCTTTTCTTTCACTAATATTTTTTACTTCATTGAAATCTCCCCCTAAGCACCACGGATTAGGAAAGATCGACTTCAGATTGGATAAAATACCCCATAACCTCCTCCTATTCAACTCTTCATTAGGTGCATATATGTTTCCAATTACACAATTAATAGAAGAATGCATAATACCTGCCAAAATGATGAAATTTCTGGAACAACAGCACTCATGTAGTAAGAAGATCATAGGATTCCAGATACACAGAATACCACCTGCACTTCCCTCCGCACCCACTTCTATGTACTCCATTGAATCCAAAGGCCACAGAGACCTAACAACACTTTCATCAATATTAGATCTTTCTGTCTCTTGCAACAAAGCCATATCCACATTTTTTAGCCTCAGAAATTCCTTTATTCTACGCTTTCGATCAGCCCTTCCCAAACCTCTCACGTTCTAAGATAGAATCTTCATGAAGATATAGATACACACTAGAATCTCCTACCATGTGCTATAGTTAAGCACCTAGCTCCACTCCTTTGTCCTTCATTCTCTCAATATCTTCAATTTCTATCTGAATAACTCGCTCTACAACTTCTGCTTCTTTTCCATGCATTGTCAGTCGCAGAGTCTTACCCAACTGCACTGTGGCCTCTGCTTCTTGTCTGATTCTCTTTTGTTTTCGTAAAACGTTGCTAATAGATAAAGAAGATAAGGATGCCATTGCTGCAGCTCGAATGAAGGCACCTCGTTGAAAACCATTTCTGAATGAAATTTCTTTGTGATCTTTTCTTTTCTGGATTTTGCCCAATACTCTATTTTCATTGAACTGGGCCTCTTCTCTACTATCCCAAACATAATCACCAGACTGATGCACTCCCCCTTCTTCTTCACTTGGGCTAGACTCATCATCTATACTATCACTTGCCTCAGCTTCTTTATTTGGGTTAACCTCCTCAACAATAGTGGCCTTCGCATTTTCAAGGCCCAGATGATTCCCATCAAAATGGGCTTTATCCAAAACCACTTCTAACGTTATATCGGGCCTATTTAAATCTCCCGGACTTAAACTTCTAATCAACCCATTGGGCCCATTAGAGGTCTCCAGCACCACAACTCTTTGTTTTCCACCCATGTCAACCTTCCTTACTAATGGTGCTTGCAAGCAGTCAATGGGTACTGGAGCAACTACATTGTGATTGCAAATTCTCAACTCAATACCTGTTTCATTAACCATCGATGCAGAGTTTGAAGTACACGGGTGCTTGTGACCTGCCCCACCACCACATCATTAGACTTCTTGCTATCTTCCATGTAATGTCTTCTCTCCATATCAGCCACAATATTTCCTACGTCATTACCTTCAACCCTGCGTCCATGGTAAGTTGCAGAACAATGGTCACCATCAACCATGGATATAAACTTTGACTACACGAACAGAGTAGGTTCTACCATCTTTTTCCAAAGTAACCAATTTATCAATATGGTCCAGTTAAGATGTACAGATTTTGATTTTCCCGTATTTCAGAGACTCCATACTTAATACATTATGATCAAGCTCCACAACTTTACCATAAGCATCACCAATTTTTCTGAAGTTATTAACATTTCAGAGATTTGGAGGCATTCCCAAGCAACTTAACCAAACTAACCTTTCATAATCAAACCTGACATCTTTGTTCCACTCAGTGATAGAATCACACCACTCCAATACCCAGTCTCCTAAACTGTTCAATGATTGTTTCATATCCTCTTTAGATTTAAAAGTGATAAACGCATTTCTCCCTCTGCCTTCTTTGAGTTGTATGTCCTTCAATCCTCTATTACGACATTCAATCTTAAAACCATCAAAGTTACAGTGGGGTTTAAATTTGATTATTGTACTCTATAATAACCATCCAATGGCATATTCATCCGCTTTAATTTTGATGTGATTACCACTTTCAGACCTCCCTCCTTTCAGAACCTTCGCATAAGAACTTCTCCCACCGATACCAGCACCGATTAATGTTGAGACCCCATCTAGTTTATGTGCTCCTAGTCTTGGATAGCTCAGATCATTTTCTTTTTCAAAATATGCCTTTTTCACCTTCAAAGATTTATCACCACACCACACTCCATTGGTTTTTTGAATTGCAATCCCCGCTGCAACAGGACAGTCATATCGTACAAATCCAAATCTGGTTTTCATCGCTTTACGCCGTTTCTCTGGGATGTACACATCTTTGACAACTCCAAAGTTTGAAAACATGGTGAACAAACCTTTAGGGTTCATCGAGTCCGGGCTCTCATCAACAAATATCATGTGATGTGCTGCCTCTCCATGTCTACCTTGACGTCGACGGAATACTGGATTCCACCCACCTTGCTACTTTTCCATTGTTGTTTTTCTTCACTCTTTATTGGCTATTTTACCCCAAAACCTTCTTTTCAAATAAGGCCTTTGTTTAATAATTTTATAATTTATATTTACCAGTCACCGTGACACTACTTACAGTTTGTTCTCATTTTACTTACCAATCAATAGTAACAAGATCTTATTGAATAATACTCATGTTTGATTGAGTTGTAAGTAGAGTATGAACAAGCAGTAAATAAAGTTTCATTAAATTGTAAGTGAGGCTTAACTATTTTCTATACTTGAGAGATTACTAGCCAAAGAAAGGTGTTTTTTCTTGGTGGAGCTTTGGATTCACCATCTTGTGCAGAATTAACCTGAACCATACGACAAGTGGTTGAGCTATTATATCCTGGAAGGGACAAGTCATAGTTTTGTGACTGCTGCATTGGTATTTAGGTTTTCCTATCGCAGTGGGCTTGATCTCTTAAAGAAAATGAGATATTCGTGCCTCAGCCTGATTTATTTGTATCTCATTTTCTTTGCAATATTTATCAATAAAATATAATTTTTTCTGGTATTTTCACCAACAATTTTAAGGAGATCAACTATGGAACAAGTACCAGAAAAAGCCAATGATGGAATTGGAGATCTCAACAAGCCTTTCAAGTTCAAAGGAGTTCATTTTAAGAGGTGGAAATGAAATATTCTTTTTTACTTCAGCCTTTTGAAAGTTGCATATGTTCTTACCGAGAAGAACCCAAACAAAATCTCAACCGAGGAGATGAATGATGAAGACTACAAGGCACATGAAGCAAAAGTGGCTTCCTATAATACATATGAGTATAAATGTCGCTTTTATCTCTTAAATTTCCTTGTTGATTAATTTTATGATTATTAATATGACACCACACACATTTTTGTCTTCTATTAATTTTTGGCATACTCTCTTGTGTCATATTAACAGTAAATATATGAGAATTATGGGTAGTTTAAGATTAATTCCTAAAGTGACAAAAAAAAATTGAGAAATGTGAAATTTGCAGTAAAACAAAAATTACCAAGAGGCCTCATAAAAGTGTTGAGAAAAGTATCGAATTGCTAAAATTATTTCATACTGATTTGTGTGAGTTTGAAGAAATTTTAACTCGGGGTGGTAACCGATATTTTATCACTTTTATTGATGATTTTTCAAAATACACAAACGTATATTTATTAAAAAATAAAGTAATGCTTTTGAAAAATTTAAAGAATTCCTTCTTGAAGTGGAAAATCAATTCGGTAAAAAGATTAAGAGAATTAGAAGTGATAGAGGCCGGGAGTATAAACCTCTTGGATTCGACTCTTTTGTTCAGTCATTGGGAATTATTCATGAGACTACTCCACCATATTCACCTTCATCTAATGGCGTAGGTAAATGATGAGATATGATGAGATAGATTCACTACGTTTAAATAAAACATGGAAGCTAGTGGATTTACCTCCAGGTTGTAAAACTATTGGGTGTAAGTGGGTCCTTCGTAAAAAACTTAAACCGGATGGAACTATAGATAAATATAAAGCGAGGCTTGTCGCTAAAGGTTTTAAGCAACAAGTTGATCTTGATTTCTTTGATATTGTTTCTCTGGTTACTAGAGTTACATCCATTAGATTGTTGATAGCAGTGGCTACAATTCATGATTTAAAAATTCATCAAATAGATGTAAAAACAACATTTTTAAATGGAGATCTAGATGATGAGATTTATATGGACCAACTCGAAGGCTTTATGAAACCTGACCAAGAAAGTAAGGTGTGCAAGCTAACTAAATCACTTTATATTTTAAAATAAGCTCCTAAACAGTGGCATGAGAAATTTGATTTCTACATGCTTGAGAATAACTATAAGACTAATGAATGTGATAAGTGCATATATTATAAAACTTGTGATAATGCACATGTAATTATTAGCTTATATGTGGATGATCTATTTATCTTTGGCTCTAATTTGCATATTATAAATGAGACTAAAAATATGCTTAATAGCCACTTTGATATGAAAGATCTTGGTGAAGCTAATTTTATTTTGGAAATTAAAATTGCCAAGACTAATGATGGCATTTTTCTTGATCAATCGCATTATGTTGAGAAAATTTTAAAGAAATATAACTTTCTAGACTGTAAACATGTTACTACTCCTTTTGATGCAAACATACATTTATCTGTTGTAACAAATGAAAAAGAAGTGATTAATCGAAAGGAATATGCTAGCATGATTGGTAGTTTGAGATATGCTACTAACTGTACTAGACCTAACATTGCATATGGTGTTGGAGTACTTAGCAGATTTACTAGCAAGCCAAGTCGAGACCATTGGCTAGCCATGGGAAGAATTATGAGATATTTATCTAGTATAAAAAATTATAGTTTGTTTTATAACAAGTATCCTACGGTACTTGAGTGATATAGTGATGCCGATTGGAACAGTTTGTCAGATGATTCTCTCTCTACCTCGGGTTTTATTTTTACCTTAAGTAGTGGTGCTATATGTTGGAAGTCTAAAAAATAGACTATAATTGCTAATGCTATTATGGAAGCTGAACTTATAGCGTTAGCTTCAGCATGTGAGGAAGCGAATTGGTTGAAAGATTTATTACATGAAATCCCTTTTTGGGAAAAACCAATTCCTCCTATGTTAATTCGCTGTGATAGCACTGCTGCTATTAGTAGAGTGAACAATTATTTTTATAATGGTAAATCCAGACTTATTGGAAGGAAACATAGTAATGTAAGATCCTATTTGAGTAATGGCATCATAACTGTGAATTATGTAAAATCTTGTGATAATCTTGTGGATTCGTTAACTAAGGCCTTGGCGAGAAATAGGGTCTAGAATACATCGAGGGAGATAGGTTTGAAGCTTATAAAATCATAAACCATGTATGAGGACACCCAACCTGGGGACCAAAGATCCTTTAACTAGGTTCAATGGGAAGAACGAATCATATGGTGGTTGTAAAAAATGCACTCCTTAATATTTTGTTATCCATCCCTATGATGTAAGTTCATTTGTCCTGTAATGTTGGATGGTTGGGTTTTTATACTCTTAATGAAATTCTGTAGCTCTTGTTGAGTGGGATGTGTAAATTACAGGAACATCCTTGACAGATTTCACCTATGTGAGCATGAAAGTGGGGCCGCTTTTTATGAGAACAAGGCTTATTCTCAAATATGCTCATGAAAACTGGTATTAGCACAAGGCCATAATCTGCTAGCTTAAAAGCTCATGTCAACACCTGAATTATTATGTGTGAGCAGTAATACTTTATTTCCCATAAGTAGTCATAGGTCAAGTTTGAGACCACTACTGACTCTGGAGTAGAGGTTGATGTTTCACTAATGAAAGTTCAATGCAAAGCACACCTTCATAATGCATACTAGTCTATCTTTATTTGGTAATCTCTCTTGTCCTTTTTGATATTAAAATGAGTGGGGGATTGTTGGAACATTTTAATATCTTTTATATATATATATATATATATATATTGTTCATGAATCTTATTTTGTCTTGTTCATGAATCTCATCTTGTTCATGAATGGAGATTCATTGTTTTGGTGACTTTTTATCTTGCTCATGAATGGAGATTAATTAGGTTTATGGACTTGGTGGTGAGTTAATTTTTTAGAGACTCTCCCTTTTTATCTAGGTTCATGGTTATTATTATTTTTTGGTGTATTTTGTAAAGTCCTAGTGGCCTATAAATAGTTCCTCTCATCTACTCTTTTCTACACCAACACACCAACTATTTTCTATACTTGAGAGATTACTAGCCAAAAAAATGTGTTTTTCCTTGGTATAGCTTTGGGTTTACCATCTTGTGCAAAGTTGGCTTGAACCATACGACAAGTGGTCGGGCTGTTGTATCTTGGAGGGGACAAGTCATAATTTTGTGACTACTGCATTGGTATTTGGGTTCTTCCTACCGCAGTGGGTTTGATCTCTTAAAGAAAACGAGATATCCGTGTCTCAACCTGATCTATGTGTATCTCATTTTTTTTTTGCATTATTTATCAATAAAATATAATTTTTTTTGGTATTTCCACCAACATAAATCAACAATTTTATCAAAGAAAGACCAGGAATCAAACCTTTACGTAATATTTGAACGTTTCACTTGAACCACGCAAAATCCATGAAGTCTCATCAAGTGGGTTGTGAATTCTAGGATATTTTGGCCCAAATGATAAATCATGAATAATATGGCTCACATTTACATGAATGGGCCCTTTAAAAATCTGTTGGACAAAATAAAATAAAATAAAAAACAAAGAAGGAAAGAAAGAGAGAGAGAGAGAAGAAAAAAGCAATAGGTAAGTGAACTAAAGTGAATGAAAAAGCATTTGAAATGAAAGGATACAAATTAACCTCCACACTAGCAGTTGAAGACATTCAAAAGGCTAGCAAACAAAACAAAAGATGTCTTGGCTCACTAGATGGAGCGAAATATATAATTATCTGGCCATTTTGTTAAAAATAAGTCGAACAATTTAATCTCCTTATAATAGCAGAAGTTACTCTTGGTCAATCAAGAATTGGTGCTTTGATTTGTGAAGCAGTTTGGTTCAATTTTCGGTTCTGATTTGGTTCGTTATTTTGGGTCTTCTACAACTCTGGTTCTAAAGATTTTGGTTCATCTATTTGGTGAGGTTTTTCCTCTTGTTTATTTGTGATTATTTGGAATTCACCTAAGGGTGGTTTGTGATACTTTTCGTGTCTCGTTTGTAATCGTTTGGAAACTATTTGGTTGATAGTGGAATCGGATTTCGATCCCGTAGACGTACCTCACATTGAGGGAACCACGTAAAAATTCTTGTGTTGCCTTTGATTTAATATTTTCGCATTAGTTTTTATTCCCATTAATTGATTTACTTGTGGGGAATCACATCGATTTTCCCTAACAACTGGTATCAGAGCTTACGGTTTATTTGGGTTTATTTATTTGTGTAAATCAATAGAGGGGAATGTGAGTCGCATGTCTAGCTTCAATGGAAGTAATTGGGTAACTTGGAAAACTAAAATGGATGACCTATTATTTTGTAAAGATTTGTATGGACCCATTGAGGGTGATAGTGGCAAACCTGAGAGTATGAAAGATGATGAATGGAATAGGCTTAATCGAAAAGCCATTGGTGTTATCCGTCAATAGATTGATGACAGTGTGTTTCATCATGTTCCTACTGAAACTTTGGCACATGATTTATGAAAAAAATTAGAGAGTCTTTATGATAGAAAATCAGCCACAAATAAAGCCTTTATGTTTCATAAATTGGTTAATTTAAAATATAAAGATGGCAGCCCAATTCCAAAACATTTGAATGAAATAAAGAGTATTGTTAACCAACTTGCTTCTATGAAAATTATTTTTGATGAAGAGTTGTAGGCTTTGATGTTACTTAGTTCTTTACCCGAACGTTGGGAGACTTTGGTTATGATAGTTAGTAATTCGGCGCCTGATGGAGTTGTCACAATGGGCCAAGTCACCAGTAGTTTGTTGAATGAAGAAACTAGAAGAAAATCAGTGGGTTCCTCTCATTCGGAAGCATTTGTTGTGAGAGGCCAAAGCAAAACAAGGGATAGGAGTAAGACTCCTCGTGGTCGTGATCAAAGCTGTGACAAATCAAAATATGGTTCTTTTTTAAAAAAAGACATTGAGTGCTATTATTGCCATGAGAAAGGGCACATGAAGCGGGAATGCCGAAAGGTCAAGAACAAGGAGAAAAGGTGTGAAAAAAAGTGTGGACAAGAACCAAGAAGGCACAACGGCAGTTACTACCAATGGTGATCTCATGGTCGTTTGTGAAGATGATTGTATCAATTTTGTGGGCCAAGAGAGCAATTGGGTGATTGATTCTGGTGTTTCTTTTCATGTGACTTCTCGAGTTGATTTCTTTACTACGTACACCAAAGGAGATTATGGTTTTGTTCGAATGGGTAATGAAGGTTTGTCCAAGATTATTGGCATGGGTGATGTTTGCTTGGAAACAAATTTGGGCTGCAAGTTGTTGCTTAAAGATGTGAGGCATGTTCCCGACATTCGCCTCAATTTGATCTCTACCGGGAAGCTAGATGATGAAGGCTACAACAACAAATTTGGTGATGGAATATGGAAGCTCACAAAGGGTTCCTTGGTGGTGGCTAAGTGTAAGAAGATTCATACACTTTATTCGATGCAAGGAAAAATTTGTAAAGGTATTGTCAATGCACTCCAAGATGATACTTCTACCGAATTGTGGCACAAGCGGCTTGGCCACATGAGTGAAAAGGGGCTGCAAGTTTTGTTTAAGAAAGAGTTTCTACCCGGTTTGAAAAGTACACATCTCAAAACTTGTGTTCATTGTTTGGCGGGTAAACGACATAGAGTTTCTTTTCATAAAAATGTTACTTCTAGAAAAGAAAATATTTTGGAGTTGATTCATTCGGATGTTTGTGGTCCTTTAAAAGCTAGAACACATGGTGGTGCACTTTATTTTGTTACTTTCATTGATGATTATTCAAGGAAAGTTTGGGTTTTTCTACTAAAAACTAAAGATCAAGTTTCAGGCCATGGTTGAAAGAGAAACATGGCAAAAATTGAAGTGCATTCGATCAGACAACGGTGGTGAATACATTGGGCCATTTGATGAGTATTGTTGCAGCCAAGGTATTCGGTACCAAAAGACAATTAAAAAGACTCCTCAACAAAATGGGGTTGCCGAGAGGATGAACTGCACCATTGTAAAAAGAACAAGGTGTTTGCTTTTACAAGCTAAATTGCCAAGATCCTTTTGGGGTGAGGCATTGAAGATAGCGGTTGACGTGATCAATTTATCTCTTTCCTATCCATTGAATGGTGATGTTCCAGAAAGAGTTTGGACCGGCAAAGATGTGTCTTATGAGCACTTCAAAGTGTTTGGTTGCTGAGCTTTTGTTCACATTCCAAAGGATGAGAGGTCCAAGCTTGATAGTAAGTCAAGACAATGTATTTTTCTTGGCTGTGGGCGTGATGAATTCAGGTATAGATTGTGGGATCTGGTCGGCAAGAAAGTCATTCAAAGCCGTAATGTTGTGTTTCTTGAAGACCAAACAATTGAAGACTTTGGCAAAGGTGATCAACCGAAGCCAAAAACTAGTGATCTCATTGACATGGATCCATCTCCTTCATCTTCGGTGGATGATGAAAATGGGGGAGATGTGCAGCCACCTATTGAAGATGTAGAGGATGATACTAATCCTAATGAAGTTGAGCCAGAAATTGAGGAAGAGCATCCAACTCAAGAACCGCCCCCACAACTTGAGTTGAGGAAATCTACAAGGGACCGATAACCTTCAAGAAAGTATCCTCCCAATGAATTTCTGTTGATTTCCGATCAAGGGGAGCCTGAGAGCTATCAAGAAACAATTGAGTATGCAAAGAAAGGTGATTGGAAAAAGGCCATGGACGAGGAGATGAATCCCTTGCTTGAAAACCAGACTTATGATTTAGTGAAGTTGCCTAAATGAAGAAAAATTCTGAAAAATAAGTGGGTTTTCAAATTGAAGAATGATGGCAAGAATCTGAGGTACAAGGAACGTCTTGTTGTGAAAGGCTTTGGGCAAAAAAAAGGTATTCACTTTGACGAGATTTTCTCACCGGTTGTAAAGATGTCTTCTATTCGGGTTGTACTTGGCATGGCTGCAAGTATAAACCTTGAAGTTAAGCAACTTCATGTGAAGACTGCATTTCTTCATGGTGATCTTGAAGAAGAAATTTACATGGAGCAACCAGAAGGTTTTGTAGAGAAAGGGGAAAGCGAAATTTGTTTGCAAATTGAAGAAAAGTTTGTATGGCCTCAAGCAAGCCCTGCGGCAATGGTACAAAAAATTTGACTCTTTCATGATGAATAATGGTTTTTCTAAAACCAATTCGGACCATTGTGTGTTTGTGAAAAATTTTCCGGATGGTAAATTTATTATTCTTTTGCTTTATATTGATGATATATTAATTGTGGGTCAAGATTCTACCATGATAAACAGGTTGAAATTGGAGTTGAGCAAGTCTTTTGCTATGAAAGATTTGGGACCGGCAAAGCAAATACTTGGTATGAAAATTGTTCGTGATCGCAAAGAGGGGCTGATTTGGTTGTCTCAAGAAAGCTACATTGAAAAAGTTCTTAAGAGGTTCAACATGAATAAAGCAAAGCCGGTTGGTTGTCCACTTGCGGGTCACTTCAAGCTTAGTTCAAATCAATGTCCTACAAGTGAGAAAGACAAGGTAGAGATGCTGAAAGTTCCTTATGCTTCAGCAGTTGATTCTTTGATGTACGCCATGGTTTGTACAAGGCCGGATATTGCTCACGCCGTTGATGTGGTGAGTCGGTTTCTCTCTAATTCGGGTAAAGAACATTGGGCAGTGGTAAAATGGATTCTAAGGTATCTTCGAGGGACTTCGAAGGTGTGTTTGTGTTTTAGGGATGGTAAGCCGATGCTTGATGGGTTCACAGATTCTGACATGGCCAGTGATATTGATTCTAGGAAATCTACTTCGGGGTATTTGATGACTTTTACAGGGGGAGCTGTGGCATGACAATCTAAATTACAAAAACGTGTTGCTCTCTCAACTACCGAAGCTGAATTTATTGCCATTACGGAAGCTTGCAAAGAAAAGTTATGGTTGAAAAATTTTATGCAAGAGTTGGGTTTGAAACAAGAAAAGTATGTGCTTTATTGTGATAGTTAAAGTGCTATTCATTTGAGTAAAAATTTTAATTTTCATTCGAGATCGAAACACATTGATGTGAGATACCATTAGATTCCTGATGTGTTAGATTCGAAGTTGTTGCAACTCGAAAAGGTTCACACGGATGATAATATTTCAGATATATTGACTAAGACTTTGTCGAGGGATAAATATTTGAAGTGTCGAACTTTGGCAGGTATGGTTGATATCTCCACCTAAGTCGGTAGGGGGAGAATTGTTGGGTATACCTCCTTATTGGAGTGTGGGACCCAATTGATTTTGGAAAAAGAGTTTAATTTGGTTTAGTATTAATTATAATATATTTTTATATATTATATTTAATTTGTGGAGACCCAATCTAATTTGGAAACAACTTAGGTTTGATAAAAAAAAAAAAAAAAAATCCTAGATTCACAATATTTTGAGTTGGTTTTGTTTTTGCTCATCCCCGTGTGTGAAGAAAAAAACGGCGGTAGCAATTCGGTGCCCATTAATCAACTTGGTGTTGTTTTGGTATTCTTGATTTGACTTGGTCAATCAAGAATTGGTGGTTTGATTTGTGAAGCAGTTTGGTTCAAAATTTGGTTCTGATTTAGTTCGTTATTTTGGGTCTTCTACAACTCTGGTTCTGAAGATTTTGGTTCATCTATTTGGTAAGGTTTTTCCTCTTTTTTATTTGTGATTATTTAGAATTCACCTAAGGATGGTTTGTGAGACTTTTCGTGTCTCGTTTGTGATCGTTTGGAAACTATTTGATTGATAGTGGAATCGGATTTTGATCCCGTGGACGTACCTCACATTGAGAGAATCACGTAAAAATTCTTGTGTTGCCTTTGATTTAATTTTTTCATATTAATTTTTATTCTCATTAATTAATTTACTTGTGAAGAATCACATCGATTTTCCCAACAGTTACCCCATGTTAACTAGTTGGAATGAAGTATAAGTTGAAGGGTATATTTGAAAGTCCCAAGGAAAGTGAATAGCCATTTAACTTTCTGTATTGCATTCAAATTAAGTCAATTATTGTTAGTGGATCCATTACGAAAATGGCACCAATCTCAAAAATGATGTCAAATTATGAATTTTGTCACTTCAAGGAAACCTAAAGATGATCACAACCAGAGGATATGAAGAACCCCTGTTTATTGCATTCCTCCATGTGTTCAATGCTAAATTCCACTGTAAGAACCACATAAATTCCAAAAAAAAATGAACAAATGAAATGTGGCATCAAAATGAACCCTAAGTTTTTTTTTTTTCTTTTTCATATCTCATCAGTGCTTAGTGTAAGGACAAAAGCTTGAACTTCCAAAAGTAACAAAATGAGAATAACGCCTCATCGACTCCAATTTTAGAGGACCAACACTAGGACATGACTTCTCTTCTGTGTTACAGGAGTGGATATACATCAGCAACAATGATTCATCCCACTAAAAATATCATCACTAATAGCACTAATGCATTAAAAAAGTAAAAAAAAATAAAAAAAAATACAACTCCAAGACCAAAACATCACATCATTAATGGCGGGACCCACTGCCACCTAATTAGTGGGAGCACTAATTAGTGCTCCCAAGCATTTTTCTATACATCAGGATAGAGCATTTGTAGAAGCATGGAAGTCAGGTTCACACACAAGCCAGACTCATAAAGGCCCATTAATAGTCTAAAGATACAGGGCAGCATCATAAAATTTAGCAAATTGAAGTGGACCAATATTTTATTACCGAAAACTTGAGTTCAAGCTGAGTACCTTTTATGAAGACAGAAGACCAATTTGCTGTTATTTTAAATAAAGGGGGTATCTAAACTATACTAAATTAGAAGTATTTTGTACTTCTCGAAGTATTTGTCTAAATAATATTAAGAGAATCAACTTCTCCTTCTTTTTCTTCTCCTCCCGCTTCTTCCACTTTTTTTATTTGTTTTTATAAATTTTACCAAGCAACCAATGGTTTAATCAGGAATCACATGCTTCACATATTTATAGATATTGATGACTTGTTACATGGAATTACATTACAAGAAAATAACCTTGAAAAAAACAGCTAAAAAAAAAAAAAAAAACTGACCATTTGTGCAACAAAAATGTTCAACCCATGAACTGAGATATGGAAGTTCCCAGCAACTCTTTGGACATCCAAGACCCCATAAACCTGCAAGAATGGTTAAGCTTATTAATTCTATCATGACCTCGAGCATGTTCACATCCAAATTGGGACCAAAACATACCCCACATCCTTCTCCATTAGCCAATGCTTGCTTGACCTTCTTAATCATTGTTTCAGCATCTTGATCAAAGCCGTGTAGGTGATTTTTCTGATCTGAATCCTCATGATTTTTGTGAGAACCACTTATTTAATAACAAACAAGCTTGGGAAAAGTACTTTATGACCTTCAACTACACAAGGAGCACAAGGAAGGGCACCATTGTAAGACAAAGGTTCATAGCAGCAATGGCATCCAAATGGAAGGGGTGGTGCTGAGGGTTTAATTCCTACCATTAGGAGAAATCTTCACTAGCACACACAAAAAATAATAAAATGGTCTATAATGATGCAAGATCATGATAATTGTTCATGTCACACTGAAATTCATATTTGTAATGCTCAAAATAGACCATAGTTTGAAAGAAGAAAAAAACCATATTTCTGATGGTCACCCTAGCTTTTTTTCTATATGGAACTAATATGCTAGCTAAAGGTGGTTGATCTATTTTGTTGTAGAAGACTCCTGAGTTGTGGACTTTTTTTTTTTTTTTTTATAATCAGCAAATGGAAACTTTATTGATGAAAAAAGCAAGATACATGCGAAAACTTACATCAACAAAGAAGAGAAGTGTAAAGAGCATCATAGCTAGCGTTACCAATCCCAACTAGGTTGGCCCCGATAAGGTAGTACAATCCTTTACAAGCACTTAACTCAAGATTGGTGAGGAATCAATCCAAAGAACCAAAAAGAGAGGAAGGGAAAAAACAACAGTGAACATTAAGCAGCCTAAGAAGTCCCTAGAAAGGTAAATCAGCAAAATCAAGCAAGCTTCAGACAACAGTAAAACAAAATTCTTAGTCCTTATATTAGCCAGAACCAGAACAGCAACTCCGCACCTCATTCCCTAGGTTGCCAGCAGCATTAGCAATACCATTCCCCTCCTAAGCAAATATGTTGACAGAGGCCCACAGCAACAACAGACCAGACCAGCCTCAGACCAGACAGCAACAACCAAGGTTTTCAAAAGCGGCCGCAACTGTTACGTAACGCCGTTACGTAACGATTGTGGTGGTTACCGCTACCCATTACGGCCGCTATTGCAGTGTGATTGAGATTCACAGGTGTGTCGGCCGTAGCGACTGCCGTAGCGGTCGTAACAGTGTCGTAACAGCCGGAACAGCCTGTTACGCACCGTTACGTAACAGTTCCGAACTACTTCTTTTGAAAAAAACACACAAAAAAAAGATGAAAATAAGGAAAGAGGGATAGAGAGAAGATGGAGGAGCTAGAGATAGAGAGAGAGAAGAGAGAAAATGAAGAACATGTTATTGACTTGTTGAAACTGTATGACCTATGCTATTCTATTCAGCTGCTGTCACTCAACCATTTTGTTTGTGTGAGTCTATCTATATATTATTTGAAAATAATAATAATAATAATAAGTGTGGTCATTATCTATTTGGCTTTGTTAAAATATGTGTATATATATATATATTTAGGCTCTTATTTATTTTCTTATTTTTGTCATTGTTTATCTTATATATAATAGTTAGTGATTGATTTTTTGTATAATATAAAGTTATTAATTATTAAAATAAAATGTAAAAAACTCACTTTAGAATGATTTAAAAATATAAAATATATTAGATTATACTTAAAAATTTATAAAAATTGATCAATATTTATTTTAAACCCAATAAATATCATCATGGAAAAAAATATGCGTTATGTGTATCGGTAAGTTTTTTTTCAAATTATGTGAAAAATAAAAAAATTCACAGTTCCGGTTACCACAACTGTTACGTTACGGCCTTTACACCCTGCAACCGCAATAACTCCACCGCCACCATTACGGCGACCGCAACCGCTTTTCAGAACCTTGGCAACAACAAAGCAACATACCACCAGTAGGCCAAACAGCTCCACCCTCTGCAGAACACAGCAGCCAACCATACCCATCCATCTCAAACGCAAAGCAGCACCTGATTTAGATTCTCCACAAAATTCTGAGTCCTTGAATTAGCTGGAAGCATTAGCATTACCACTAGATTGCCAGCACCATCTGCAGAACACAGCAGCCATCCACTTGCAGAACACAGCACACAACCATACCCATACATCTCAAATGCATAGCAGCACCTGACTCTAATTCTCCACTTTGTGATGCACTGAGTAATGGACATTAGGCCAAGCGGATCTAACCCACAACCCCACCCTCAGTTTTACTAACTCACCAAGCTTCATCATATTATCCAAAAGCCAGGACAACAACTAAAAAACACCAACCTGCAGCATCCAACTCCAACAGAGCATTACCCACACAGATCTGGCCAACCACAGAGAATAACATCAACAGATCAACAGCACCAATCTACCTATACAGATCAACAACACCAATTCATAGCAGCAGCAAAAAAGGCTTGGACAGCACCAGAGTGAATCAAGTACTATGCAGATCAGCCACCAACACCTATCAATTTCAGATACAGACCCTGACTTGACTCAGATTTTCCATAATTTGATGCACAGAGTACTTGACAGAAGGCATGGAGGACTTAACCCACAGCCCAACACGCACTTTCACTACCTCACACAGCTCATTCATATCTGGTTGCTTGCCATTAAACACAACCTCATTTCTTAGCCTCCAAGTGGACCACAACATTACTACAGGTACGAGTAGCCAGATTTTCTTTACAGCTTTTTTGTGCTTAGTTCCCAACCACCAAGACAACACTTCATCCACAGTAGCAGGGGATGCCCAAGAGAAATTCCACCATTATAAAAAACATCCCCAAACCTTCTAAATCTGAAAACACTGCACAAAAAGATGGTCCACAGATTCCACAGCATCTGAACATAAAAGGCAATTAGTCACAACAGTATGACCCAACACTCCAAATCTCTGCAAAACACCAACTGTTTTGATTTTACCTCTCTAAGCCAACCAACTTATAAATTGTGCTTTGGGTGGAGCTTCAATAGTCCAAATCATCCTAGGAACGAATAACCTTGGTCCAGACCTTAGCAGAAGCCAATTTCTCATAGCTAGCACTGTAAACTCACCAGAGGGGGATGCAGCCCACCTCACTACATCTTGCAAATCCACATTCAGCCTAGGAACATCCCTTATCAACCATTGCACCTTCTTCACCTCCTCTTCCTCCTAAGCAAATAATGACCTTCTAAATTGAAGTCTCCAATCACCCTCACTGTCCCTCCTCTGCATAAAGGAACTCAACAATCCATCTTTATCCATAGAGAGCCTAAACAATCTGGCATACTCTTCTTTCACCTGTAAATCCTTGAACCATCTATCATGCCAAAACTGAATCCTACACCCATTCCCAACCACAATCTTACACTGTGACACAAAGAACTGAAACAGCTCCAGACAAGATCTTTTCACACTCTGAACATCACTCCGCAGAATAGATTCCTTACCCTCCCCAGTCTTCAGTGGTAACCATCTGCCGCCTGCAGACCCATACTTGCTGATAATAACCTTTTTCCATAGTGAATGATCCCTCACCCCATACCTCCACCACCACTTTAATAACATACAAACATTAGTATCCCTTGCCTTCTTAATATCTAACCCTCCTTGGTCCTTGCTCATTGCAACATCCTTCCATTTTACCATATGAATCTTCCTTCTCAACTTTGAACTGCCCCATAAGAAAGCTAACTTCAACTTATCAATTTCCTTAGCAATACCAATGGGTAATTTGAATAAAGAAATATAATAACCAGGGATACTATCCAAAACTGATTTCACCAAAGTTAACCTTCCAGCAAATGATAAGAGCTTCCTTTTCCACATAGTTAACCTTGACTTAACCTTATCCACCACTGGTTGTCAAGTCTTCTTCCTTCACGGGTTTGCACCCAATGGCAATCCCAAATACTTTAGAGGTAGCTTTTGACATAAACAATGCAGTGTTGAAGTAAAGTCATGAACCATAGTATCACTAACTCCAACTCCACATACCACACTTTCATGAAAGTTTATCTTTAGCCCTGACATTACCTCAAAACATCTAAGAATTCTTTTAACATTTACAATCTCCTCCCACTCAGCTTCACAGAACAATATAGTGTCATCAGCAAACTAGAGATGAGACAGCTTCAATTCTGCAGACCCAACAGTTGCTCTCTTAAATAAACCCAGACTCTTTGCCCTTTCCAACAATAAATTTAACCCTTCTGCCTCAATGTTAAACAGAAATAGTTACAAAGGGTCACCCTACCGTAACCCCTTTTGTGGACAGAATTCATCAGTTGAAGAGCCATTTACTAAAACAGATACTTTTGCAGTGGTAACACAGGTTTTCATCCATCCAATCCATCTCTCTCCAAACCCAAGATTAGCCATCATGGAAAATAGATACTCTCAATTGACTAAATCATATGCTTTTTCAAAATCCAACTTTAGTATGACCCCTACTTTTTTGACTTTTTCCACCAATCTACAACCTCATTAGCAATCATTACTCCATCAAAGATATTCCTACCACCCAAGAAAGTCGTCTACACTTCACTAATGACATCTAGTAGCACCTGTTTCACTCTTTTTTAGAGCACTTTTGCTAAGATTTTATAAACAACCCCTCACTAGACTTATTGGCCTATAATCTATTAGACCATTCGGACTAACCTTTTTCGGGATAAGAGTGATAAAAGAACTATTTAGCCCTTTAACCAACTTGTTATGCTGATAAAACTCCTGCATAACCTTAAATATATCAGTCTTCATAAATTTCCAACATTTCTGAATACATGCCATATTGAACCCATCTGGACCTAGCGCTTTATTCCCATCACACTCTTTAACGACCTCCCATACTTCTTCCAATGTGAATTCAGGCTCCAATATTGCCACACCTCTTGCATAATCAATTGGCACAAAATTTCCAGACAACTTTGGCCTAGATGGCCAATCTTCAGCAAAGGCCTTCAAATAATGCCTCAACACTTCATTCCACACAAGCTCAGGATCATCAACATTGAGACCATTAATAACCACTGAGTTTATCAGATTCCTTCTCTGTCTCTTACTTGTAATGATATGAAAGTATTTCGTGTTTCTATCACCATTTTCAGCCCAGTTTAGTCTAGACTTCTGGAACCAAATCCAAGCCTTCTTCTTTCTAAGTGTCCATACCAGATCTTTTGCCTCCCTTCTACATGCTACTTCATTTGGTTCCAACACCCTGGATTCGGCTAAGAGCTCCAATGCATGTAAATCCTCCTCAGCCTTTTTTAATTGCTCCTCAACCACTCCAAACACTTCAATATTCCATCTTTTTAACTCCTCCTTCAAACCTCCTAGCTTTCTCTGGACTCTATACCCTGCCCACCCTTGCACCAGCCTTTCAGACCAAGCTTTTTGAGCTATCAAAATGAACTCTGGATGTAGTGTCCATGCATTGACGAACCTAAATGGACTAGGCCCCCAATTCCTCTCATCTTCCATCAACAAGAGAGGGTAATGGTTAGATACCAACCTTGGCAAACCCTACATCTTGAATCTAAATTTCTCCAACCAGACTGTATCCAGCAAAAACCTATCAAGCCTACTCCATCTCTCTCCATCCATTGAATTACAACAAGTAAATCTTCTTCCTAACGCTGGTACATCCACTACTTCTAGTTGGTCAAAAAAGCCATTGAACTCTGCCATACCTCTATCTCTTCTAACACACCCTCTTCGATCTTCAATGGTTCTAATCTCATTATAATCCACACCCATACACCAAGGCTTTTGGAAGCTTAACCTCATACTGACAATTATTTCCCACAGCTTTGCCCTTTCAAAAACATCATTTGGCCCATACACATTAAGAAATACACATTCAAACGACCCAAGGGCCATACTTGAAATAAGCAAAAAATTCCTATTAGGACAACAGTCCAGCAACTGGAACACCTCTGGATTCCATAAGCTCAACAACCCTCATGCACTACCTTCAGAATCAACAGCCATAAACTCCAGCATCTCCCATGGCCAAATGGATTTAACAAACAACTCATCTATTCTATATTGTTTTGTTTCTTGTAGAAGTCGCACATCCACTTTCCTTTCCTTAATAAGCTACCTAACTCTACTCATTTTCTCCATTCTCCCTAGCCCTGTAACATTCCACAACATAATCTTCATTGATCACTAACTTTACCCCAAATAAGACCCCTACCTCTTGGTTAATTAGGCCCTTTTCAAGTCTGTCTTCATCTTGAAGCTCCAACTGCACAATTTTTTGAACTACTTCTATCTCTTTACCATCACAGTTCATGCCCAAACTTTTACCGATCTGCAAAGTAGCTTGTGCTTCCTCAAGCATCATCTTCCTCCTCCTACTCAACTGACTATCCTGTGAAAAAGAGCGAGATAAAGTAGTAGCCGCTGCCCTAAACACTGCTCCTCTCTGGAACCCATTCGAAAAAGATGTTTGAGTTTTCTGCATTCTCTTCCTCCCTTGACCTCTGTTGCCTCCATGCCCTCCCAATCTTTTTTGGTTAGAATTTGATCTAACCACCACATTTCGTCCTGAAGCTGCTACCTGTACACTTTCACCCCTGGTAACTGGTAGCACCCATGTTGGACTTAACATGGGTTCCCCAGCACTATTAGTTTTATCAAGATCCAAATTTTGTGCTCCCAACCCAGGCCCATTACTAATATTCTGTAAATGGGCCGCGTCTAAAACCACTTGAAGATTAATACTAGTGTAGACGCGCCCGTGGGCCTCATGCTACAGTTCGGACTCGATTTGTGTCACGGTTCTTAATCTGAACCAAAGAATCCAAATCTGGCAAATCGTTTTGAGAAACAGATTTCTGAAAAAGTAGTGCCAAACATGGACTGCTTTGCCAGATACAGAGTCGCCACCTAAATGTTTTTAAAATGGAGAAATTTAGGAAACCCTAACTCGGTGCCGAAGGCCACATGTCCGTTATCACCGGAGTTGTCTCGGCTCGGGAGCTTGGGTACGATCGGGGAAGGTCAGCTATGAGCACCCCCTCTCGCCCGGTCCGAAGACCAGCCTCTACTAACCGTGATATCCAGTTTTGAAAACGTTATGTGTTCTTATTCCAATTATAAGCCTAGCATTACTATGCTATACGCGCGGCAAACAAGTATAGACCAAATCGTCCAAATTGGAAATAAAACATTTTATGTTCGTTTTGAAAATGGTTTGCTACTCGCAAGTAGGCTAAAATGCAGATTTTGCCACCCTCAAGTGGGCTTTTGGAAAAGATGGTTTTGCCACTATCCAGTGGGCTTAAAATTCACAGTTTTAACGCATTATCCCAATTTAAGCAATTTGACCTCCACCCACAGGCATTCAAACAGTTTATCTCATGTAAGCACTTAGCCGCATGACAAGCATACTATTATGGCAACATTCACACGCATGCTGGATGCTAAAGGAAAAAAACTTACATTGTACTCCGTGCCAAAACAGTAAACTAGTTAGCAAACATGCATGTCCTAGTTCATGTTAAAAGTGGCTAATGCATCACATGCAAAATGCGATCTAGGCAGGCTCGGCTAGCCCTAAAACATGGTATGTGAAAATGCACAATTATCACATATTCGGTTTAGAATTTGAAATACAAATGCGGTTAGCGTGATGTACCGAGCCTAATGTATGCAATACAAATGCATGGATGCACGCATGCATAGCATAAGGTATGCTAATTTCAAAAAAAAATGCCCTAATCTACCATCATAAGCGGGTAAATAAAAGGGAAGAAAGAAATGGGGATTGGAAAACATACACACCACCCACACACACTTATTACAGATTTCCCCCCCACTCGGAGGGCCCAAATAAATATTACAGTCCCAAAATAATAAACGAATAAATTTATTACAAAATTTCTAATTTAATTTAAAAGAAAAGATGGCAAAGGAAAGAAGAGGGCAGCCGCAGCCTCTGCCTCGGGATGCGCGAATGGTGCATGCTCAAATCCGTCTCGCCCGGAAAACCCGTACCGTACTCTTGCCGCCTCTGTTTGTACTGCCTTGTCTTTCTGAAAATTGCCAAAGTACTGGAGCAAGTTCCTTGCATCCTGCAGAGCACCACCGGCCGGACAAAATTCCCATCGGCACTTCACAACTCCCATCGGCATTTGTTGGATTCCTCGGCACTTCGGATATTGCCGGTCGGCACTAAATTCTGCCGGTCGGCAGAAACTTCCTGCAGAAGACAATTTGACAGCAAACAGAGAACAGACAGTGCATGGCATGGGGTTCTCAGGTACATGTAGGCATGGTTGTGCTTCTTATCATGTTTTGAACTCAAAGAAGCACGACCCTCGATCTTTGAGCCATCAATGGAGCATAATGACCCAAGGGATCAAATTCGCCACTCAATGTAAGGATGCATGCAACAAACAAAATGAAAACCGAGGCCTTTACCGAGCCCGGTGCATGTAGG